AACGCTCCTGAAAAGTTTTTTTTCGTGTTAATTATTATTCATTTGTGGATTTTAGTTGGATTTTGCTGGAAAGCGTTTAGATGTGGTTCGTTATATACGTTCGTGAGTATGAGTGTTTATGTGTTTTATATTAAGACAAAATTCATTTAGAAGCAAATTCATACATTTTGAGGTGTTTTATGAATTCACAGTATCCGTTTCCTCACCGGACTCAAGTGATCGGGAAGAGGGATGCTGGTGCGGAAGGTAAGCGAAGTGGGCGTGGTGGGTCCTGGGGATGTGTTTTGGTCTTCCGGCGCCTCATTTAGTTTCCTCCTGATAACTACGGCTTCGTCCTCTTCCGAAGATCTTCCCCACCAAAACCGATATAGATGGAAAAGTCCGATGAATACGAAGATCATACTTAGTTGACAGATGGCATACAGCAGGGGGAATGTTACTAGCTGCACACGTACCTGGTGGCATAGTTGATATTTGGCGAATTTTTATATAGCTTTGCTGGTATTTATTTTCCGGCATTGATTATTTGCACAAAACGTTTTGTGATTTTTTTTACGATTTCACCAATATCATTTTATATGAATTTCAATTTTACTATCACTTCACTTTTGGGTTTTGGAAGGAGAGTAGCATGATGTTCGTAGCTACGGGCATGTTCTGACATCCTGTCTCAATGCCAATGGTACGGCATACTTTGTGGCTCTAGTTTAGGGAGAAAAGTAACCCATGAAACATACTCGGGACAGTTTCATATTGAACAATGATTCATATGATTTCTAAGATGAAGTTTCCTATTTATAAGGTAACAGAAATACAATGTGATAAGCATATATTTGCATACTCAGAAGAAAAAGGACAGGTAACGTGGAAAAAATTTAATGTGTTGCCACCATAAGGACAATCTTGGGAAAGGTTATTACTCACAAAGCAAATAATTTTAGCAACAATATAGGCAATGAGACATCCCCCGCCCGGAAGTAATGCAGCAGCTGCCAGAAGTCTCAGGTCAGCATTCAGAAGAACCTTCCAGTAGATAGAAAGCAACATGGCTGCGGATGCCACCACAAGTACCCAACCCAGTATTCCACAACCCTGTCATTAATAAGGAAGTGGTTAGAAACTGATTAGAACTGTGGTTAGAAAAGTGTGAATTTCATAACTATAGCCAATGTTCATAAAAACCGTCAACTGTGTTATTCCTGAAGACTCGCCTTTTTTATTCTCCCTCCCCACTTCTTGCTCTTGTAGCGGATAAGCATCCCAAGAATAGAGGGAAGTGCAACCAAGGCAAGGCTAGCTAGGATATGCACGTAAGGCACTTTCAAGTCCTCAGAGGTCCACCGATGGGTATATATCCATAAGTTGAAAGGCATGGCTCCAAAGGCGATTAATGCAGATACAGCAGTCATCATAATACTATATATTCGGAGGGAGGAGAGAGTGAGATTATAAAAAGGATGGCAAAAATGAAGGCACTAGTGGCAACTTAGAGGTTGGATATAACAAAGTAGGAAGAGGGATTTCAGGTGAAACCAATGGTGCTCGCAGCATGTCTTGAGAACATAAATAAATAGGATGAATCCATCCATTACTTCCAACCACAAGGATCCTCCTTTGATATTTTGAGAAGTGTGGTTTATCAGTTCATCACATTGCCTCTGGATGAAAGGAAAGTAAAATAGGGTGAAGGAAAATTTTATACATCTATATTCTGTAATTTTTTTTTTTTTTTTTTTTTTTTTTTTTTTTTTTTTTTTTTTTTTTTAGCTGGCAATAGCCTCCCTGGATAGAGAATGGTGTCAGATGTGTATCTTTCAGATGGGTTTATTACTGAGTGAAAAGTGTGTGAAATAAAGCCTCTTTTCCTCTCTTTCATTCATTTTCGTATTTTTTTAAATTACGAGACATTTAATACTATAGTATAGAGGCCTCGCCAGCTGCATGTGCCCTCAACAACTAATTATCTCACTCAATTCAGAGACACTTGGGATAACTGAAACAAGAGGCAGGAGAAGCCTCTCGTGCCAACCAGCCAATTACTGTCGAGACATCCTGGCAGAGATTGGCTGACGAGTGCAAGAGGTCGGACCTGGCTTTACATTTCTCTTAATATGAGATTGTCACACACACACACACACACACACATACACACACACACACACACACACACACANGAGAGAGAGAGAGAGAGAAGAGAGAGAGAGAGAGAGAGAGAGAGAGAGAGAGGAGAGAGAGAGAAGAGAGAAGAGAGAGAGAGGAGAGAAGAGAGAAGAAAGAGAGAAGAGAGAGAGACAGAGACAGAGAAAGAAGAGATAAGAGAGAAAAGAGACGAGAAAGAAAGAAAGAAAGCCAAGAGAGATAGAGAAGAACGCAGAAAAAAAAACAGAAAAACTTAATACCAAATAATAGAAAAGAAACAAAAAAAAAAAAAAATCGGCGGAGAGAAACACTATAAAAAGACGAGAAAAAAAAAATGCTGTTGCGTAAGAGGGAAACTCCTGGCTAAGCTAAGGGGAAAGACAGAAAGACAGGTGGTCATCAGAGGGGTAGGATGGACCGCGTGGGAGTTGCAAGTGACAGGGGACGGCAGATGAGAGCAGAGGAGCTAGGGAAAGGGCAGGGGCAGTGAAGGGGGGCAGGGGAAGGGTAATGATGGACAGGGGGATATGGTGATGGGCATTGAAGGAGGGCAGGGGCGTGAGGATGGGTTAAAAGAAGGCAAGGAAAGGCAGGGGAGTGAAGGGGGGACAGGGGGATGCAGGGGAAAGGAAGGGTAAGACGAGGAGCAGAGGAGAGAGAAATGGCAAGGGAAGGGAAGGGGAGTGAAGGGGGGCAGAGGAAGGGCATAGGATGGATAGGGGGAATGGTGATGCGCAATTGGAAGGAGGGGCAGGGGGACGAGGATAGGTAAGGGAAGGGTAAGGGGAAGTGAAGGAGGGCAAGGGAAGGGCAAACGATGGACAGGGGGAATGGTGATGGGTTTTATCGATGGGGCAGGGGGGACTGAAGGGGGGGGGGGCAGGGGAACGGCAGACGAGGAGTAAGAGCGAGACCATGGGCAAGGAAGGGTCAGGGGGGAGTGAAGTGGTTTGGGGGGAGGGCAACGAGTGGAAGAAGGGGAATGGTGGGGATGTGAGAAGAAGAAAGGCGTGAAAGAGACAAGAGTGAAGATGGGCCAAAAAAGGAGGGCAGAGAAGACGGAAGGGGCAGAAAGAGATATGAATTCGATTAAAGAAATGCAGACGAAGAGTAAGGAGAATCGAAGATAAGAGATAAACAGAAACGGAAAGAAAAGAACAAAAGAAAAAAAAAACGAACAAGAGCAAGAAAGCGCAAACGAAGAGGGAATAAGAACCCCAAAAGAAAAAAACAGATGACAGGCATACGAAGGAAAGGAGAGAAGAGAGGAATAACAGAAACCCATAAGGAAAACCCCGCAGATTGAGAGCATGCCGGAAAAGGGAAAAGAGAGAGAGAGAAGATCTAAAGACGCAGGAGCATCTTGACCAAAAGCTCTTCGCTCCATCTTCTTTATCAATTTTAATTTCCTTCAGGACGAGACAAACCCCTCCCTCGAGACCAAGGGGAAGGAGGGGAGGAGGGGAGACGGGAAGAGGGAGAATGGAGAAATGGAGAGAGAGAGAGAGAGAGAGAGAGAATGAGAGAGAGAGAGAGCGAGAGAGGAGAGAGAGAGGAGAAGAGAGAGAGAGAAGAGAGAGGAGAGAGAGAGAGAAAAGAGGAAAGAGAGAAGAGGGAAGGAGAGAGAGAGAGAAAGAGAGAGAGAGAGAGAGGAGAGAGGAAGAGAGAGAGGAGAGAGAGGAGAGAGAGAGAGCGAGGAGGAGAGAGAGAGAAGATAGCTAGATAGATAGAAGTAGATTAGATAGATGAATAGATAGATAATAGATGATAGTAGATTAGATAGCTAGATAGATAGATTATTGTAGATGAGAGGAGAGAGAGAGAGAGAGGAATAAGGGGGGGGAGAGGAATTTTTAGAAAAGGAGGGGAAATAATTTGAGAATCAAGAATGATAAGTAATGAAAATAATGATGGATGATAATGGTGGTGGTGGTAGTTGTGATGAATGAAAATGATGAAATACAATAACACACAAGAACAACACACAATTATAAGGATATTAATACTTTAATACTAATACAGCACTATTATAATACTTGCTAATGTATAACAGCCTTGATAACTAATAATCATAACACCAATGAATTAATGATTGATGATAATAGTATTAGTAATAAAATAATAGAATAATAAATGATTAACATAGTAGTGGTGATAATAATGATTCCTCCCCTCCCACTTTTCACCTTTCTCCTTCTTCTTTCGCCTTCCCTCTTCCTCCTCCTCCCCCACTTATTCTTTCCCCCATTCCTTTCCTCCGTCCTTAGGCCCTTAACCCTCCCTACCTCTCCCCTCTTCCTTCCCTCTCCTCCCACTCCTCACACCTTTCCCCCTCTTCCCCTGCCCCCTTCTGCTCTTTACCCCTCCCCTTTTAACTCCTTCCCTCTTTCTTCTCCCTACTTCCCTCTCTTTCTCTCTCCTCTCCCCCCTCCCCTTCGCTCTCTTCCTCTTTCCCCTCTCTTTCCCCTCACCCGAAGGTTTACAGGAAAGGCTACAGGTTCCTCTTCCTCGGCGCCCCCCCAACCCCACCCCTTCCCCAACCCGCCCGAGCAAACTTTTCCCGGGGATGAGGTGAGCCACATTCCCCGCCGACAGGACTTGAGGTGACGTGAGGCGAGTCCCCGTGAGGCGGGGAGGCAAGGCGTCGAGTTGGGTATTACGTGCCTGTGAGGTGGGTTGGGTGGGGTGTGGGGGGGCTGGGGGGTTGGGGTCGGGTGGGGGGCTGCAGGAAGGTAACAACACACACTTGCAACAACAACCACACACAGCAACACACACCACACACCACACACACACACACACACTATGATTATATATATATAATATATATATATATATAATAATATTATATATATATATAT